CACACAGGCAGACTCACTGAGATGATCCCAGTAAGGCCCCTGGCACAGGGTCTGGCACGAAGTAGGTGCTTTTCTCTTTGCTATCACCTTACTATTCTGGACCTGAACCAGTCCAAGAGCTGCTATTTAGGAACCAGCAACATGTCATCTTTTTTGACCCAATAACCTCTACAACTGATTATTACTACCCTGGTTTTATAGTTTACAGATGACAAAAACAGGACTTAAGGAACTCACACACACACAGACATACACAGCCTTCTACCTCCAACTAGTAAGTTATGAAGCCAAGAAGAGAATCTAGTTCTGCCTCCAAAAGCTCCTGATGCTGAAGCTGCCATCCCTACCTCTGTCTTCACAGTTCAGCACAACTGGGCTTTCCAAGAAATATGGGAGCAAACCAAGCACCTTAGTTGCCAAACAAAAACTAAGGGCAAGAGAACGTTCCCAAACTTCTCAGGAGGAGGAGGAGAAGCCATAGTGCTCAATCTTGGGATTCCCAGACACGAGCTGTCATCTCAGACTCCCTCCCGTCCAAGTCCTCAGCAGGACACACAGTAACCTGAGAGACTTGTCACTTGGTTTTTAACCCCCACCTACCCTCTGCCAACCTGATTCTTTATAAACTTCACCTGTTTGTAGAGCCACAACAGGGTGCAGACAACTGTGATGTCAGCCAGCGTAACTCGTTCGCCCACCAGAAAAGTCCTCGTCTTCAAGTGAGCATCCAGCAGCCCCAGAATTCGCCTCACCTCCTCCTTTGCGTTCTCTGTGGCCTAGTGATTTAATATGATCCAACTTATCACTCAGAAACTAAAGAACATTCAAGAGCAAGAGTGTCACAATTTCAGAATGGACAGTCCTTTAAATTAAACTCAGCTTCATGAAAAACTCGTTTACTGTTTTTTAGTGTGCCAAGATCAGAGGGAAAATAATCCCCTTCCCTCCCCTTCTCCCCCTAATAACACAACTAAGGTAGCTTTCCAGTTACTGAGTCCCAGCTCATCCCCCTGGTTTCACTGGAGTCAGATCCTACAATCACTGCAAATGTATCACGAAGGAAGCTCTCTCAGCACTAAATTTCTTCATGGTGCAGTCTGGCTTCATTCCCATTGCAACAATCATAGTCCTCTATCTTCAGATCCTAGACGGAATCTTATAGGTCATCGGCTCTAACCACTCGCCCACCATTTGGCCGGTATAACCTTCCTACAGCAGAAATCTCTCCTCTGACAGTGCATGATGTAGACACCACGTCCACAGAGTCTGACAAGGAACCCAGATGCTATCATGAGCGCAGTGCTCCCAAATTTCACCCCGAAGATTAGGTCTTCTCATTACACACACATTCTTGGCATCTTTCTCAACCTATTTTCTTATTCCCCGACACTCAGGAGTGGATGTAATCCCTGCCCTTGACTTCTCCCCACATTCCAAGGCTCACCTGCTTGTTGTGGTGCATGATGCCCAAGGTGGGGAACACCCAGGTACTGGCTGGGGGCACTATGTCACTATCAGCAAAGCTCACCCACTGGACCACCTGGGCTGCTGCCTCTGGAGTACTTCCCCGCAGTTCTTCATTGCTCACTGCAGAGGCAGAACAAAAGGTCAGAACGTTGGAGTCATGCCAACACCAATCCAGGTCCCTGAAAAGTCCTCTCCCTGTTCACTGCGGCTCCCCCTCACCCGCGCATAGACCCCTCACCTCCAGACCCTCCCATTTCCACATTCGCTGCAAATTACCATAGTAAGCAATGGCATTGCTCTCAAACACACAGAACCCATCATCACCCTCAAATGCTGGAACCTGGGGACAAAGCAGACAAAACATAAGTAAAATACATAGTCATCTCTCACTAACCAATCCTGGGAACTGCATTGTTTTGGATACAAATTTTTATATAAGGCTGACAACTCTTGCTAACCAAACTCTTGATACTGTCTGGAACTCAGGAACCAAAAATACTTGAATAACTTGGTACCCCTTACAATCTGAATTCACATAAGAAACCCAAAAGACTTACCTATTATCAGATATTTGTATAAAACTCCTCAATCAAATAAGCAAACGGCCAGAAGCCTAGTCTTCTATCGCTATCTACAATATTCAAAGCATTACAGCATTCCTCACACTATACTTGATCTCTTCTACTCTTAGCATGGTGACCTATCTCTGTAAGCCTCTTGGGACAAGAATTCTGCTCATAGTAGGTACTTGATTTACTTGCACTGAAACAGCCAAAACTCATTCTCTCACGTAAATACAAAGTAAAAGTCTGTGAATTTTATAAAAAGTCACTGAATAGCTCTCTATTATTTCTAACTACATCTGAATCTACAATTACCTCAAAATAAAGGTTTTTTTAAAAAAAATCACTGAAACGTGGAAAAGAAAACATGGAAAGCTCCCTTTTAAAGATGGAGGCCATCTTCAGGGTGACAGACCCTTAACAACTCCTCGGGTTCTCAGGACCAAAGGCCCCTCTCCACTTCCTACTTACCTTGCCGGCAGGAAATTTACGGAGAAACTCAGGGGTGCGGTTGGTTTGGCCAAAGTGGAAGTGGGGTGGTGCGGAGAGCACGCGGACCTGAGCCCCGCTGTACTGGGCGGCGATGAGAGCCTTGAAGGCCCTCCAGTTTTCAGGATATGTGTACAGGGTCTGTGCCAGAAAGAGGAGAGGAAAAAAAAATTAGCATGAGTTGAAGAGTCCCAGTCCTAAATGTCACCTCCCAGAAGGACTTCCCTGAGTGACCCCAATCTGTTCAACTCACTCCTTTACTCCCCCTGGTGAACCACATTCCTTAGTACCTGTCATGTGTAATCAGAGTCCTCCAAAATACCAGAGGACAGAACAACACACCAACTGCTAAATAAAGCTTGTTGACAGATCTGACCTTCCATAAGGACATCTCGAGAAGCATGCTCTTCTCCTCGAATCTATCTCTAAGAAATCCAGAACTCCTAGGTCCCTCGGACTCCATCTGCCGCCAAGCATCCGCCCCTCCCTTCCCTGAGCCAGGGTTTCATTCATTGATGGTTACCGGGTGCCTGCTACTCCACTGCTGAGCCGCTCACTCCTTCCCGAGCATCTCTCTCGTCTCTAAGACACAAACCCCGACCAAGACATTCCCAGGTTCCCCTCAAAATAGCCACCGAGATCTAGAACGGCATCTCCTCTTCCTAAATCAACTCGGTCTCCCTAAAAAGCCTTTCCTGTCACGCGCAGCATCCTCCGATCCCGTCCCGCAGTGAGTTCCCTGATGTTGCCTTCACTTCTCCTATTAACCTGACCAGGGGGGTCCGACTGGTCTGACTCCACCGTCCGGAGGTTCCTCTCGCTCCCGAACTCCCCTGATGGATGACCCTCAGCCGAGGCCAGCCGTCCTTGCCCACAAAGACCCTCCTCTTCACCCTGTCCCTACTGTTGTCCCACAAAACGGTCGCAAAAGTTCTGTCAACCTGCCCAGATCCCACGTCTCGAGGCGGCAATGAACCCGAACCCCTTTCCCCGGCCCCAGACAGTCAGGACCCGGCATCTTTTTTCTCCTCTGCCCCAGACCCTTCCACCTCTTTGGCCTCCGAGAGCCCCAGCCTCAGTTCCCCTCCGGGGCCTGGAAGCCCTGCTCTCCAACAGTACGGTCTCTAGATCCTAGGTCAGCTCCCCATTCGGCTCCAGAACTCCTCTGACGCCAGCTCACCCAACTCGGGCAGAGGATGGCGTCGGATAGGGTGACCTGGCTCGCCAGAGCCGGCAAACTTACCCCAGCCGCCATGGTGATTCCGCAGAGAAAGGGGGTGGGGCTCTCGGCGCTGCCGCAAAGTAAGCCGTCAGGGAGGGAAGGGAGGGGGGAAGGGAGAGACGTGGAGAGACAGCAGCCGGAAAGCGAGGACGGCACAGACGGCATACGCACGACAGTTCGGTGTCCCGCGGCGACAGAATTGGAAAGGGAAGGGGGTGGGGTCTGCTGGCCTACGCGGAAAAGGATCGCGCCTGCGCAATGGGGCTCCGGACTAGCCCTCCCCTCAGGTACCACCAATCGGAGTCCCGAGGTGGAGATACTGGGCGCGGAGGGAGGGGAAACTGTGAGAACTAGCTGGAAAGTCGCCCCTTGGCGGCTACGTGGCACAGCTGCCAACCCGGTGCGGCGCCGCGTCCCCGAGTCGGCATTCCCCTGCGGCTTGCGGGGCCCACAGTGTAAGTGAGGCCCAGGGACGAGTGACTTGATGGGAGGTCCTGCCAAGCCCCTAACACCGTGATTGTGACACTCAGGAGCGGAAACAACTCCTGCGGAGGTGGCGACTTGCCAAATTCCTTTTGTTCCCGCTCTGGCTTTCTAGAGCAGAGCACGTGTATCTAACCGGAGCCCAGGTCTGAAACCCTCTAAAAGTGGGATTTCCTCCCATAAACCGCCTTGCAGCCCTGGGATGCTGTTCCTACTGCGAAAAGAAAGGGGACTTAGTCCTGGAGCCTGCGACAGGGGAGGAGCCTAAGGGAGAACCCAGCCATACCCCTTCCACCTCCCGTCACTCAAGGGGGCTCACAGTTTCAGACAAATTCTGATGGGTTGCCCTTTGCCCGTGTTCAGGTCTGAAAATCTCTTACCCAATTTACCAGAGAACAGGATGAATTCCCCTAAGTGAGAGAATGAAGACCCCTGAACCCAAATTTCAGGCCCTGTCACCATTCATAAATCTGGGCAGCAAGGTCAATGTGGAGGCTAACTTGCTTCCTCTCACAGATCCTGCTCAACCCACCCACCCAGCATGTCATCGTTCAAGAACTGAGTGGGCTCCAGGGGCCAGACCAACACGTCCTGGGCACTCCCTGCAGCTGCGATAAACGGTAGGAAGGAACGAAACAGGCTGCTGCGGTGGAGGAACAGGGAGACCTCGAAGTGGCCAAAAAAGCCCTCTGAGAAGGCTGCATTATGGTCTGGGGAGAGGAAGTACTGGGTAGGGGCAGGATTATTACCAAGTGGAAATCAGAGGAAAACTGTAGTGTTTGTTAAACTAGCAGCTTTATTGCCCTTTAGGGCCCTGTCTTCACTTGAGGAGATTTCGAAGTGCTTGAGGGAGGAAAACCTGTAAGAAATGATAGAGATCAGGGAACAGGCCTTGAGCATCCTGGAGTGGGGTCACAGTGAGAGTGTGGTCAGCCTGGGAGGCAGCCACCACAAACGTCAGAAGTGGCTCAGCCTCTGGCCTCTGTTCAGCACTGCTCAGTCCTCTCAGCTCCTGGGTCACCCGAGCCTCAGTCGCCAGCCACTCTGCTCCTGTGCCAGCACCACCTCCACCTCCTTGCTTGGTTTGCTGCTGCAGGCGTCGCCGTGCACGCCTCCGCCCCTGCCACACTCGGTGCCACAAGGCACAGCGCCAGCTCACTGAGGAGAGCAACGCTCCCTTCCCTGTCTCACTCTGGGACCCTTCTCTGGCTGCCTCACGTCCTTTGGGCCCCTGCTCTGCCAGCGCTGCATGGCTTGACGGCCCTTCTTCTCCAGCAACTACATGCTTTCTGGTCATCAGGGGCGGCTCCCCTGGCTGCACAGGGCTCCACATGGCCCAGTCCTGCCCTGTCTCTCCAACCTCTATAACCATTTCTTCTACACCATCTTCGCCGTGGTCCCCTGCACATCCCTGCTGCTCCTCCTTCCCCTCCTCACAGCTTTTGTTCTGTCCATCTAGTTTCAATCTTTTGCTTGTCCCCCCCTGGGGAGACTCCCCAGTTCCACCTCCCTCTGACCGTAATCTCTTGGTGCCCTGTTCTATATGACACCCCAATGCTTCCCTTAACACCTGGACCAGGGCAGCAGTGAGCTGGGTGAAGGGAGCAGGGGGTAAGGGGATGGGTGTTGCAGACAGCAGGGAGCTAGGGGAACTGGGCTGCAGGAGGGGGAGCAGCCCCCAGTCCCGACCCCGGGAGGAACGACGCTGGTACTGGAGGCTTCGGCAGTAATTGGCTGCCGCTCGACAGCAGTTCTGTAGCCGCCCGGCCACCCGGCTGGTCACATTGGCTGCCACATTGTGACTCAGGTCAAAAGGATCCTGGAGATTCATAGGGCCGAGGCGCAGACCCTCCCAGAGATTAGAGGGCAGGCCCCCTGCCACAGGCAGTGCCTGACCCTCTCGCAGGGACAGCAGTGAGCCACGAAGATCCCAGCAAGAGACACAGGAGAAGAACTGGGCTAGCAGGGAACCTGGAGCAAGAGGAAGACCAGGGAAAAGGGGTTACCTGAAGGCCAGAGCTGAGACAAGCCCTGCACCCGGGCCATTCCCTCTGGAAGACTTTCCTTTTCCTTTCCAAGGGGTTCAGAGGAGTACCCAGAAGCCAGGCTCCTCTGATCCCTATACACAAGAAGTCAAACCTCTCTCCCCATGCCCCCAGCAGTGTCCTGCCCCAGATGCTGCTCCTTCCCCTTGCTAACAGTGTAACCTTGGGCAAGCCACTTAATTACTCCAAGCCGTGGTTTCTTCATCCGTAAAATGGCAGTAACAATATTAGCTATTGCATGAGGTTGCTGTGAGAACCATGCCTGGCACACAGTGACTGTGTGAGGTATGTTTCCTACTATTGTGATTAACATCATTTATTAGTCCTCTACCGGGCTCCCCAGACTCACTCAGGGGCTCCTTATTGGTGCTGGGCTCCAGTCTCGAGGCATCCCTGGGGAAGCTACAGTCCCAGCCATCAACCTCCACCTGTTCACCCTCACCTGTGAAAGTAAAAAAGGTGAGGGTCAGCCTGAAAGCAGGAATACGGGGGTGGAAATAGGGGTGACAACAGAGAGATCTGATTCCCAGGGTAGCTAGTGTGTCTAAGTGAGATGAAGAAGAGAGATGAAGCTAACAAGATTGAACGGGTGGACGCTGGGCTGCCGTACCTGCCTTCTGGGTGAGCTGGGCCACAGTGGGCAACACAGGAGGGTCCCTGGTCTGAAGGAAATAGATCACGAGCAAGGTCAGGGCGTAGTTATTGAGAAGGGGGCCACTCCCTGGGTAAATAATCAATAATGCCAATTAGAACAGAGGTGCCTCCAATCCCCTCCTTGGTGGTTTTCTCAACCCTGGTTCCTGTACCTGCCCATCCTTCTCTCCCTGAATCCCTGCCTTTGCCTCAACACCAACCCAGCCCCAAGTGTGTCCTGATTCATTCTCACCTGACAGCCCTCGACCCTGAGCCCAGCAGCGGAGGGTGTACACAAGGGGCCGTACTCGTCCATCCAGCTCAGAGCAGAGACTCAGGAAGCGGGAGTTATGCAGGGCCAGCCTGGGACAAAGGGAGACGGGTGTCAGGGCTTGGGAACCCTCTGAACCTATCACCCCCAGCTCTCATTCCAGACTGGCGTGCTGGGGACCAGCTGGAATAAGGCCAAAAGAGGGTTTCCAAAGTGTGTGCTGACACATTGGTCTTATGAGAGGGTGTACAAACCATCAAACATGTTTGGGAAACACTACATTCTAAAAATGTCTTGGACATTCACAGAGCATGGTATTATAAGGCTACTCAGAGCCTTTAGTGTGCAAAGAAACAGACAGAAAGGGACGGAGACAGGGAAGACAGGAGAAAGAGAGGGAAGGTGGCAGTGGAGGAGAGGCAGGGAAGGGAGAAACCTGTGTGTTTAATTTAGCATTTCCCAAACATATTCAACCATGTAACTCTTTTCTAAATCTCTTAAAAATAATATTCCGAGAAACACACTTTACGAACACTGACATGGAAGCCAGACAGGAGGTGAGTGGCAGAAAGAGGGACGGGACCAAACAAGGATACCCTCGAGGCCCAGCAGGTGTGGGACGGTTCCACACCAGGGCTCCCTCCTCAGCCACCTCTGAATGCTCAGCTGGCCTTCCCCGACCACCCCGCTAAACAAAGGTACCGGTTACTGAGGGAGACGTCACCATGGAGACCTGAAGGCCGATGGCAGAACTTGACTACAGGACGTCGGGCAGAGGGCACAGTTTGGACTCGGTACACTCCAGGGACACAGCCCCGAAGAATGGATCCTACCAGCTCCAGCATGGCTACACCCTCTGTCTTCTCCCCATTCGGGGCCTCTGCTAGTTCCAGAGACTTCCCTGGGTCCCCCTCGCCCCGGTCCTCCTGCAGTGGTGAGGCTGGAGGCAGGGACTGGGGAGAGGCGAGGGTCTCAGAGGCCAAAGCAGAGTCCGGAGTCCGGGGTGCCAGGGAGGAGGATGGGATTTCAAAGTCCAGGGCTTCCGAGTCTTGAGGAGAAGCTGGAGGCTGCGAGTCTGGAGGGGAGGCTGGGGTGCCAGCCAGGGCTTGAGGATCCAGTGGGGATGCAAGGGCCGAGTCCAAGGACGGAGACTCAGGAGCCTTTGGGGCTGGCTGGGGATAGAAATGAGCTGAGTGAGTGCCTCCCCTGCTGTCCCCCAACCCAGGAACATTCCCATCCCCAAGAGATATCTGTTACTTACTGCTTATGTGCCAGGCCCTATTCTTAGGGCTTTATATATATTAACTCATTTAATCCTCACAGTTTTTTTAAATTAAAAATAACCTTTTAATGCCATAAAATCAATGGTCTGTATTCTGCAAAAATGCCACTGTCACCAAAGAGAAAAAAGGTAGAGGAACTGTTCCAGATTAAAGAAGACTAAAGAGACAACACAACAGTTCATTGGCAGGGTAGCTGACCCGGTTGGAGAACGCATTGTAGATTAAAGTCTGGTAAAGCTGTACACTTGTACCAGTGGAGCACTTCCTCAACTTGACAATCATGCTGTGGTTGTACACTAGAACACCTTGGTTCTTAGGTGCTACACACTGCAATAGAAAGGCGTAAAGAAGCATGATGGATGCAACCTACTCTCGATGATTCAGAAAATATAAATGGTGTGTAGACAGAATGATAAAAGAAATTTTATTTTAAACATAACCCCTTTTGTGGGGCAGAAAGTATCAGGAACTCTACTTTCTGCTCAATTTTGCTGTGAAACTAAAACTGTTCTAAAAAATAAAGGCTTTTAAAAAAATAATAACCCTTTCCCATTCCACAAACAGAATCTGTACATTAAATGTTAGAAAATACAGAGAAGCAAAAACTTAACCCGAAAATTGCCTTACTGTATGTCCTTTTATATATATTTTTTCCAAAATAAGATAAGATACACACCATTTTGAAATCTGGTGTTTTCCTGTTATAAATGCCATCTATCCCATGTCAATTCATTTTTATCCTATTGAATACCCAGCCACATTCACAATTCTCTAATTACAATAACCCTTTCAGGTGGGTCCCCTTGTCCCTATTTTACAGATAAGGAACTGAGGCCTGAGAGGTAACTGTTTGCCCAGAGTCACATGACCATTCCCACTGACTCTTCCCAACTGCCTCCCTGGTCACTCACCTGGGGCTCTTCCAAGTCACCCAGATCCAGGAAGAGGTCAAGATCACAGCCATGGACATCAAAGCTGTTTATGGAAGAGCCAAAAGGATGGACCACACAGCCTGTGTGCCGAGCAGAGAATAAAGGTCAACAGACATTAGGGAAGAGTAGAGGGCAGAAGAACATAATGGGGCGTGAAGGTGGAGGAGCAACCGAACAAACACCACTAGCTGAGGGGGGAGTGGGGTGCAGACACTGGGGAGGGAAGGACAGGAAGGGCACAGATACAGCTGAGGGAGGCGACTCACCAGGGAAGAACTCTGTGAAGACCTCCTGCATCAGGGCCACCACCAGGCTCCGAAGCTGCCGCTCAGCCTCGGACAACTCCCTCAGCCCCACGAGCTTTACCATTTGTGCCCCAACGTCTGGGGCCTCAGCGAGTGCTTTGGCCAGCTGGTGACTGTCAGGGGCCGCCCCTTTGGGGGATTTGGAGGCAGGGCTCTGGAACTCTTTCTGCTCCCGTGGCCGGACCCGCAGGCGATGTCCTCCCAGGCTGTGCTGGGGCTGTGACAGGACAGCTTCCCGGGCACCCACGTCCCCCATCTCCACGATGGCAAACACTCCCTGGCAAACCACAACAGGGGCAGGGATGATGGTTTTAGAACCAAGAATCCAAACACACAGTCTCACAGTGGGTGAGAATCTTTGAAGTGGGGACCACCCTATAAATTGAGAATATTTGCTTAATGTTTCTCTAACAGGGAGCATATTTAGAAAAGCAATTCTCTCCCTCACTTCTATCCCACACATTTTACTCTCACCCCAGCCTGCCTCTGAAAATCTCATTTGACCTGTTTCACTGTCCCCTCCTCTTCCCAGTGATGTGATTTCACTGTTAGACCATGACTCATAAACCCCCAACTTTTCCTGCTTTAATTAGACTCTTTTGTTTTTTAAAGACTTTTTTTAAACGATTTTATTTTTCCTTTTTCTCCCAAAGCCCCCCGGTACATAGTTGTGTATTTTTAGTTGTGGATCCTTCTAGTTGTGGCACGTGGGATGCTGCCTCAGCATGGCCCGAAGAGCGGTGTCATGTCCGCACCCAGGATTCAAACTGGCAGGACCCTGGGCCACCGAGGAAGAGTGCAAGAACCCAACCACTTGGCCATGGGGCCGGCCCATAGACTCTTAACATTAAGAATCCATGTAATGAGCACTGTGCCAGACATAAATATAAACACATAAACCCTATCTTTGACAAATTTACCATCTAGGAATAACAGCGATATGACAGCATGCTGCTATGATTTGGCTGAGTTCACTTATTTACTGTTTTTTGGGGTTTTTTGTGGGTTTTTTTTAAGGAAGATTGGCCCTGAGCTAACATCTGCTGCCAATCCTCCTCTTTTTGCTGAGGAAGATTGGCCCTGAGCTAACATCCGTGCCCATATCCCTCTATTTTATATGTGGAACGCCTGCCACAGTGTGGCTTGATGAGTGGTGCATAGGTCCGAGCCAGGGATCTGAACTGGTGAACGCCTAACCGCCGAAGCAGAGTGAGCGAACTTAACCACTATGCCACCAGGCCGGCCCCTGATTTGGCTGAGTTCAATGAAATTCTTTAGGCCATTTTTTTTTAAAAGGTAAAATGTTAGCAGGAGCAGGAAAAAATATGACTGCTTTGTGGCAAAAGTTCACTATTCTTTTATATTCTCTTCAGTGGTAAAGCTCGAGCCTCATCCTGCTTATAAAAAGGTACCCTCAGGGCTGGCCCCATGACTGAGTGGTTAAGTTCATGTGCTCCACTTCAGTGGCCCAGGGTTTCACCAGTTTGGATCCTGGGCACGAACATGGCACCACTCATCAGGCCATGCTGAGGTGGCGTCCCACATAGCACAACCAGAAGGACCCACAACTAGAAGATACAGCTGTGTACTTGGGGGCTTTGGGGAGAAGAAGAAAAAAGAAAGAAAGAAGACTGGCATCAGATGTTAGCTCAGGTGCCAATCTTTAAAAAGAAAAGATACCCTCTACAGTAATCAAGACATTGTAGTACTGGCAATAAGACAGGCATTCCAATGAAGGGAATGTTGTTGAGGCTCCAGAAATAAACCCGTATATCTATCATCAACTGTTTTCAACAAAGGTGCCAAGACCATTCAATGGCAAAAGAATAGTCTTCTCAACACATGGTGCTGGGACACTGGATAGCCAGATGCAAAAGAATAATGTTAGACCCCTACATCACACCATATAAAAAATTAACTGGCGGGGGGGGCGGCCAGCCACATGGCTGAGTGGTTAAGTTTGCGCACTCCACTTCAGCGGCCCAGGGTTTCGCCAGTTTGAATCCTGGGTGCAGACATGGAACCGCTCAAGCCATGCTGAGGCAGAATCACACATGTCACAACTAGAAGGACCTACAACTAAAAATACACAACTATGTACCAGGGGAGCTTTGGGAGAAAAAGGAAAAAAAATAAAATCTTAAAAAAAAAACTAACTGGGGGGACGGCTTCCCCAGCACACAGGCCTGAATTATGGATGGGGAAAGAGTGATAATGAGTATGCAGTTTCTTTTTGGGGTGATGAAACATTCTGGAATTATATAGTAGTGATCGTTGCAGAACTTTGTAAATATACTCACAACCACTGAAATGTATACTTTAAAAGGATGAATTTTATGCTGTGTGATATCACACATGTGCCCTTCCTACCCTCACTTCTACTTTTATGCCAAAGAGAGCAAAGAACCAAAGTGAAACCAAGGAGAAAGGCAACCACTTGGACCTGCCCAGGCCAATCTTCTGACTCCGAGGAATCACGCGGCTCACCAGGCTGCAGTTCAACTCCAAGTGTGCAACCAAAGCCCCAGCTAGAAATTAGGTGTCTCTATGCCTGGCCTTGTCTCTGTGTACATATTCCTCTCAGGAAGCACACGGAAGGCATTAGGGAGGGAGGGATTAGCAGATTCAGAAGCCTGTATCCTGGACATTCATCTCGTCTCAATAGCAGCATCCCCAGCTAGTCACCATTTAATGAGGGCTTATTATAAACCAAGCTGTTCGTAGAAGCTATTTCTAAGTCTCATAAGACCCCTAAAAAGTATGTATTATTATTCCCATTTTAAAAATTAAGAAAATAAAACTCAGAGAGCTTAAGTAACTTGTAACTGCCTCCCAAGTAGGGGCTCAAACCCCCAAATCTCCAACTTTCCAGCGATGATCTCCCTCAAGGAAATGTCGTGGAGATTAAATGAGATATTGTATATAAAGTACTTAGCACTAATTTGTACATAGTAATTGCTCAATAAAAATTTTAATCATTATTGTTATAATAATTAAAAGCCTCAGAAACTTTAAGTTCAGGAAAAGACCATTCTTTACAACTGAAATAAATATGACCAAAAATGGGGACATGGAGCTTTCTGAAGAAGTAACCTGAGGCAGACACTGCCAACTGCCCACCAATACACATTCTCCCTTTCTTCCTTACTAACAGAACCCCAATTTTTGTTCAGAAGGGAAAAGTGCCCAGCTAAAAAAAAGCTACATTTCCCAGGCTTGCCTGTAGCTAGGGGTAACTATGCAATAGAGTTCTGACCAATGAGATATAAGCAGAAGTCTACTGAAGAGGCCTCTGGAAAAGGTATCCTTCCGGGAAATAAAGAAAAGGGAGGAGGGTTCAGCTCAGCTGACCATACCTTTTATACTCTGCCCTTCAACTTATCCCTTCTTCTTGCCATAGGATGTGGAAGCAGCATTATTACAATTCTGAAGTGAGAGCCACGTACCAATAATGACAGAGCAGGAAAACAGGAAAACCCTGCACAGCTCAGGTCTGGACTTCTTGTTCCAAGAGAACAATTAAACCCCTTTTATTGAAGCCATTGTGGGTCAGCTGCTGACTGCAATCTCTTAAGAAAAACAGACCCCACTCTATCCTAAGAGAAGACCTGGGCTGCTAAGGAGATTTGGGATCACCTGAGCCACCCCTTCAGAACTAGAGGGCAGTCTCAGAATACAGTATAACCACAGAACACAGCACCACAACAGTGAACTTTTTCCAAGAGACTACAGAGAAACTGACAAAAGGTCTGCATGGAAGCAAGACAAAAAGGACCACCAAGAACAAGCTTGTTTGTCTAGCACTGTCCAGAGGACAGGGTGTTCTGACCAGATAATCAGTACCTCTCAGTATAAGTTACTAAACTGCTAACTGGGCTATCAACCAGTCTCTTGGAGGGTTAGGAGACAACTCCCAAAGTTGTGGTCACTGTAATTACTCACTGAATGTCTACTTTCTCCACTAAACTGTAAGCTCTGTGCAAGGAGGGGGCGCATATATCCTATCACTACTCAGAATGCAGCTCTAGGGGCCGGCCTGGTGGTGTAGTGGTTAAGTTCGCACGCTTCACTTCAGCAGCCTGGGGTTTGTGAGTTTGGATCCTTGGCACGGACCTATACACCACTTGTCAAGCCATGCTGTGGTGGTGTCCCACATACAAAATAGAGGAAGACTGGCAAAGAGGTTAGCTCAGGGCCAATCTTCCTCACAAAAAATAAAATAAGAATGCAGCTCTAAGCACAGTGCCTGTTACAAAGTTAGCAGTTAGTAAATATTTCGCAAATAAAAGACTGATGGAAGAAATAAATGATGAACAAGTCCCCCAATGACTAAATCTGGTGAACTGATAAAATCCAAGCAGGGGCTGGGTTGGGGAGGGGCTCACAACGCTGGATTAGCCCAAGTACTGAAGAAGAGTCCACCGAGAAGCCACACTAGACACCAGCTCAAACAGGCTGCTGGCTTCTCTCTCTTGTTTCTTTCGATATGCAGCACACCTGACTCATTCTTTACACGGAGAGCCATTCACTCTACCTTGTCCTTGTCCATGACAACACTGGCCACAGATCCAAATGCTTGGAAGTACTCAGAGAGCTGAGCAGAATCCACATCCCGGGGAAAGCCACTGACAAACACACTTCGAAGTCCCTGGGCCTTTCGGGCAGCTCTTAGTTCTACCAGGTGCCGGTGCTTCCGGCCTCCCAGGTGGGCATGTAGGCTGGGTCCTGCAAAGACAAATGTGAGACAAAAACATCTGAATTACTCTTCAGTGTACCTACTCCCTGACTCTTCTCTGCGTGCCTAAATCCTACTGATCCTTCAAAGCCAGAGAAAGTGTGACCTTTGAATACACAAAGTTCTGACTCCTCTCACCTTCCTCTCTTGTCCATTTGTCTTTATAGGGTATTCCCTCTAAGTAGTTCCCAGGAGAAATGGCTACACTACAAGAATTTCTTAAACCATCTGTAAGTGCTAGGTAGAGGAGTATCTGCAAATTGTAAAGAAATGAACAGGTAACTTATCCAGGTCATACAAAGAACTAAATAAATCAGGACCCTAGACTATTCCCCATGGATCATCTCTGGGTATGGTGTAGAGATTCCAAGTGCAGGATCTGAAGTCACATTGCCCAAGTTCAAACCCCAGCTTTGTCAAACTGTGTGAGATCTTGGGGAAGTTACTTAACCTCTCTCTGCATCAGTTTCCTCAGATACAAAAGGGAGATAATAGGGTCCGGCCCTGCGGCACAGTGGTTAAGTGCGCATGTTCCGATTTGGCGGCCCGGGGTTCACTCGTTTGGATCCCGGGTGGGGGACACGGCACCGCTTGGCACACCATGCTGTGGCAGGCGTCCCACGTATAAAGTAGAGGAAGATGGGCATGGATGTTAGCTCAGGGCCAGTCTTCCTCAGGATAAAGAGGATTGGCAGTAATTAGCTCAGGGCTAATCTTCCTCAAAAAGGAAAAAAAGGGAGATAATAATCGTACCTACTACATATGTATTATTCACATATAGCACATGGCAGAGAGTCTGGTACATGGTGAATGTGGGAAAAACTTGCTGCTATTATGATTTTTATTATATTTTGAGTCAGCTGCTTGATGTCACCAATGTAGATGTGGGGCCAAGGAAGACTATCTTGGAGTTCTGGCTTGCCCTTCAGGACAAATAGTGCCATTTACAAAGAAAAAGAACAGAAGATCCTGTTTATGGAAGATCAGGATTTCAAACTTCAAAAGTGGAATCTGAGGTTTCATTGAGCCCCTTGCGCCGTCACACAAGGACTTCGTTTACTTTTCCAAACCCACCGTTCAGGCGTGCAAGCCATGCTACTTCACCCATCTCTGCCTTTGGGTAGCTCCTCTGTAGGGCCTCCCTGACTTACTACCTTCTCTGTGATGCCACAGCTCTCCAAACATATCTGTAGAGCACTGAAATTGTCTCCATCTCTAGATGGAGAGCTCCTTCATCTCTGAATACCCTCTCCCCACCCTAGAGCCTGGCAGGCACAAAGGGAATGTTCAATAGATGACGGTTAAAGCGGGAATAAAATAACGAGGCTTTCGTCGTGGAGATTTCGGACACCGGGAAGGAGCGGAGTAAGGTGGTGGGACTTTGCTCACTCTCTAATCCCTTCGGACGGGCGGAGTGAAAACGGAGGTGAGTGACCCTACCAACTGACTTGACAAGAACTATGATCTATAACCGTAACTTTCGCTAAGACCCAGAGACGAAGCCCACAGCCACCCCCCTTCTCTAGCCACCGCTTACGGTTGGCTGTAGTCACGTGGCAGAGGCAGCAGCGGAAACCCCCACGCGGCAGCGATTCGACATCCGAATCCACCGCTGCCATCGCGACTCTCCAGTACCAACAAAATGCAACCACTCCTGCCACCACAGGAATCGACTCCTACAAACCGTAACGCGCTCGGAAGCAACTTCCGCCAGTTCAATAGGAAGTGACGTAGCACCGGCCAATCGCGCGGGCACACTCCTCCGGAAACCAAGCTTCTTCGACTCAGGGTTCCGTTTCCAGACTGTGTTAACCTAACTGGCTTTAGGAAAAGCGGCCCATCTACGATGCTTATCTGCATGCGGTAAGCCGATTGGTGTGCTCTGGACTGTTCAGGCGTTGATTGGCCGAAAGAATCGTGAATATTCATAACAGAAGCCACAAAGGCAGGCGCCGGTTTGCGGTCGGGGCCAGCTTCTTGACAGCCGGCCGCTTCCTCGCTGGGTGGTCGTGGCCAGGCTGTGCCCTCCTTCAGGCGACAGGAGAGCCCTGCGCGGCTGTATCCTCAACCCTATATTACCTAGCGAATAAAGGCGGAGGATGAGCAGCCTCTACGAAGCCCAGGGCTGCCCCTGGATTCTCGAACTCCTCAGGGCGTTACTCTTTCCCTCTGCCCTCGATCCTCCCCCGAAACGGGTGTTCTGCGACCCCTTCCTAGCCTTGGTTGGGGAGCTAGACCCCCACCGGGCATCTTGCGGACTCCATCTTGGGGGGCCACAGCCAGATCGCTGCAGTCCTGGTGAGCCGGGCTTTCCTTCCGCAATAGTGGGTTGCGCGGAGGGTCCTCAGGAGGCGCCGGAGCCACGGGCCCACTTCGAGGCATGCGATGGAACCTACTACGGTGGCCACCATATAAGTGAAGACATTGGACGATGCTGCTTTGCCCCACACTGGGATAGTGGTCAGCTTCTCCCGACATCACTGAGGTGTTGGCTCAGGACGGGGAGAGAGTAAGGGAACTGGGGAGGCCCTAGGGACAGAGACCATGAGATGGAGGAGACTATCTGATGGGCTAAGCAGCTCTTGCTGTTGATCAGCCCACAACTTTGGACTGTGGAAAGAGGAGTGGACCTGAGGCAGTCATCTCAAGGTCTGTAACCTTGAGCAAGTCACAACTGCAAGGTTGTTCCCCATCTCCAAAGAGCATGTAGTAGGCTTAACTTCTTGTTCTCTCTCCTAAGGTGCTCCTCCTGTTGGGCCCAGCTCAGTCATATGTTTCCCAAACCTAAAAAGGCAGGAAACAGCACTAGCATGGGCCCTGACATCAAGACAGTTGCTGAGGCTGGCCTTGGGGATCCTTGAAGCAGTATTCTGTGCAAATACAACACGGAGCCAGGTGTTGTATCCTAGAGATCCTGGAGTATCCCACAAGGTGGACTACATCCTGCCCTGGCCTCTAGCAATTCCCAGAATTCCCTCAGTAAAAGGGAGAGGGAAGTTAAGAGTTGGGAAAACACAGCAAGAAGAACCTTCACACACCCACCCCCAAGGGATGCCACCAGCTTTGCAGAGAACCACCTCATCCCAACTGCTTTGAATGAATCTGGGCCAAGATGGTGCTTGGGGTCCAGCACCACAAGGAGCCGGGAGCAGTTTGGGTCCCACAAGAGAGAGCGCTACAGCAAGCTGCCTGTCAAGGCTGCAAATGTCATAGAGCTGTTCCCAGGGCAAGCCCCATCTGTACCTCTCTTATAGTCCTTTGTCCTTTCTTTTCCCAAAGACACACACCGCCAACACACACACACATACATGGCAGAGAACAGCTGAGCCAGGAAGAGCTGAAGAAAACAGCTTTTTATTTGTTACTATAAGAACCAATTACAGAATCCAAGGTTAAAAAAACGGACAAAAGATCTTTATTTCTGAGAATTGGCGTACAAAAGGCGGAGGGGACGAGGGGAGGGAAGGAAAGAGCGAGCATGGGCTGGGGTTGATGCCAGCTTAGGGGCCTCAAACTCCAATTAGGAAAGTCCAGACACCGGACAGGAAGAGAAACTCCCAATTAGAAAAAAAAAAAAAACAGACAGACATGGCAGTAATGGCAGTGCACGTCCCCCTCCCCAAACCAGGTACAACCACCTGATATCTGTTTACTCTTCCCCTCCTCCATCCCCTTTCACAAGGGGAGGCAAAATTTTTCAAAAATTAAAAAACCCTCCCCCCAAAACTGTCCAAGACAACTGTGGGTCCTACCCCCCAAAATAGGCTAGGTTCCCACAATGGGCCAAGTTCCTGCAGTCTGCCCTCCATCACCAGGCATGGAGAAGCACTGGAGGGGACAAGCCTCGTAGTAGTAACACCAGAGGGCGCCCAATCCCTCCAAGGACACACACTCACTTGCTCCCTCCCTCCCTCCCTCCTCACTCCCTTCGATACTAGAGGGAAGGGAGGTTAGGTGCCCTGGGCACCCACTCTCTAGCTTTCAGCCCACCTCCCTTCCCCACAGATGCTCAATCCTCCAGGACAATGGGCTCATTGGTGCTGGCAGGATGCGAGGGTGCAGGCAGAGGAACTGGGGGCCGCACTGCAATCAGTGGTGGCTTCACCTTCAGGGGCAAGTTGGGCCTACGCGCAGCTCGCCGCATTTCCAGGTGGGTCAGAGCCTTCCGCAGGGCCCTGGCCAAAAAGAGAAGAGAGGAGTCAGGAAGGCTAAGACCCTCAAGGTGAAACCCCACATTCTGCACTGCAGTTCTTTCAGGTAATTCTTTTCTGGCATCCCTACCCTGCACCCACAGTCTTCCTGGAGCTGGTCTTGCTCAGATATTCCTATTTCCCATACCCACCAAGGTAGGTTGTCAACCTCTCAGCCCCTCCCAAGGTGGGCTCCCTACCTGGTATCTTTTGTGGCCACAAACACCACAGGATTGGGGGCATCAGCTGGGTTTAGTTTCTGACGCTTGGCTGCTGGCTGTGAGCTTGAGCGAATCCCTGAGGCCAGAGGCCTTCCATTGGCAGAGAAGGGGACCCCTGCCCCCGCCATCTGGAAAAGGGTGGGGCAGCACAATGAGAGGGGACTCTCTCAGACTCCTATCAAAAATAAAAGCCCACTCAACTCAGCTTGGCCCATTCCAACCTGTCAACTCACAGTCTCATAGGGCCGCTTCACCATAATGCCCCCTAGTCCCCGGTTCTGGGTCAGCTGGTTTCTGTTGATGGGTGTCTTGGTACCCCGAGGTGTTTTTGGTTTCAGAGGTGCCTGGGCCACTGCCAGGAAAAAAAACAAAAGAAAACTTAGAGAGAACTTTCATCCTTTCTCTTCTCTATGCAGTTTCCCTGGGCATCCCCAAAAGTAGTGATGGGGAGGGGTCTGGCAAACAATTACCAGTATTTCAAAAATCACATGTGAGTGTGACCTTGTCAAATCAGTAGAGTAATACTGGATAGCTTAGGAAAACACATTACTAACCTACAAAAGTACAGTTTGTTAGACTAAATCTCTTAGGATTCAACGGGAAAGAACAAAGCAGGGAGAGAGAAGGTTCTTGATAGGAAAAGGACTGAGAGCTTAACACCACCCTAACTGGTTCCCTGTCCGACACCCGCCCTGTATCCACAGTCTGGCTCCCCATCCCATACCCAGATCTTTGACGATAGTTGCCAGGGGCAGTCGCACCAGAGGGTGAATCTTCAATGGAGTCTTGGCGGCCTTAGGAAGTCGAATGGAGCCTGGAGAGAAAAGATGAAAGCTTTTTGAAAAGGCTTCACGATTCAGGCCCTCTTCTAGGGAGGAGCCACATCTAATCTCCTAACAAACCCTTGCAGCCTACTATACCTACTGTCACTAGACATCCAGAGAAACACCCAGTCTCTGGCCAGGGCGACCCTGAACCCACCAGGAGCCCCACCACTCCTGCCCTTACACTCAGCCTTGATGGCATTGGCATTGATAGGGGCGTAGGGTCGTCGGGCAGCCCTCCTTGGCTGTAACAAGTCCCTGCACATGCGTCTGGCAAGACGGGTCAGCTTCGTGGTTTGGAGCAGGAATGTTTGCCTGTTCTTCGCCAGCAGCTTGGCCCGGTTGGCGCTGGTCGTATATGGGGAAAGACTTTGGGCTTCAGGTCTGGACAAATGACTCCGCGAATGTGGCTCCTAGAAGGAGAACACAGGAAAAAGGAAGGACACAGAAGGACACTGAGGCTCCCTTCTTCCTTCCATTCTCTGCAGAGAGCACTTTATTCCTGCCTGATCTCTTTACCGCGATCCAGACCTCCCTGGCTCCCCAACCACTATCAAGCACCCACACACACATCAAACCATCACCACATAAGGAGTTCGGTGTTCTGGCCTTTGCCTAAAGCTCTCATCAATATGCTTACTCCTCTCCCCTGCCTGTCCCCCATGAGTCCTTACTGTGGTGCCCCGAGCAGCCCCCTCAAGCTGGGTTGGGGTCTTCAGTCCCCCGTACTTCTTCCAGTAGATCCAACAGGAAGCACAGAGGCGGCACTGCATGTTGGGTGGGCCCCAGGCGTACCACTGGGCAGACTGTGTGGCTGTAGGAGCCCAGAAAGAAGAAGGAGGTCAGAGGGGAAACATGCCACTGAGCCCTTCAGGTTCACGGGCCAGAGCAGACTTCCTGCCCAGCCCCAGCATCCCTGCCCCTCCCTGGAACTCACTGTGGCAGCTCTCGCAGGTCAAGCCCTTCTGGAATCCAGCCCCATTCATGCCAGGTTTTGAGCCCACAGAGACAATCTGGTTAGGATTTGGCTTCGTGCTAATGGGGGCAGCGGGGGAGAAACCACGAACTGGTCAAGGAAAAGAATCCATTTCTTACTTACAACAAGAATATACAACTATGTACTGGGGCTTTGGGAGTAGGACAAA